AAAAAAAAAAAAAAAAAAATTGGCGCAGGGAAGGGGGTCGTTAGGGGGAGACTGTTGTTGTGTGGTGCATCGGTTCACCGTGGGACGGTCGTTTTGGGGGGCCCAGTGGTGGACGATGGTTCACCGTGTGAGGGTCCTTTTGGGGGGGGAAAGGGGGGGGCTGTGTGTTGTGTGGTGCATTGGTTCACCGTGTGAGGGCCCAGGGACTTCAAACAATAACAATTACAAACAGTTTTCAAAAGCATTGACTCATTGAAGATCATGTGCAAGTGACAATCGTTGCTGAAATTTAGAAAGTACAACATTACAGGGCAACATAACAACAACACGAAACAACTGCACCATACATACACAACAATAAATGAAACATGAAGATTGAACTCAATCAAATAATGTGCGAATACAATGTGCAATCGTCTGAAACATCGATAACAAAGTAGAAGGAAAACAAAAACAACGCAAGCGCTGCAGATATTGCGCCCATGTCTGAATATAGAGTCCAATCCTCCGAAACATCGATGCAAAAATAAAATGAAAAAGAAACAACAATCTGCACCTACTGCACCTGTATATGGACAACTGTGCAGTAGTCTAACCATCTGTACAAATACAAATCTAATAAACACTACACCTATGAACACATCACGTCATCCGAAGCACTAAGTATAATATACACTACTAAGAAATATAGGATGAAAGAGGACTAATGGTGGGACTAAACATCATCGTCGTCCACAATGTCCTTCCTCCTCCTCTGCGGCACCGCACCTCTGACACCGTCACCACCACCTGTGCCGCCTACCGGCCCGTGCGCTGTATCCGGAGCATGAACCCCCCCTTATGGCGCCACGTCAACCCCGTGCTGTGCTCGAAGAAGGTCGTACACGGAAGCCATCCTCCGCTGGCCACGAGGCATCTCCAAATCATCGGTATCGGACTCCAAAACGACTCCTGCCGGTGACGGTCGCTGCGCAGGCACCGTCCTCACATCCTCCCCCAATATACGTCCGGCCATGCTCCTCCCGGGGGGGCCGCTATGCTCTGCCTCCTCCCCCCTACCTGCTGTGCGCCCCCCAGTACATGGCATCTCCGCCTCAGCAGGTGCTGTGATGGGCTGCTTCGTCGCCCGGCTGGAGCCCCTCTCCCACCAACCTGTTGTCTCCGCGACAACGTCCAGGGCCAATGCCTCCCGAGTCCGCGGATGTAAACCGGCCAGCCCGGGCTGAGTCTCCCGCATCGCATGCGTCACCCTCCTCACCGTACTGAGACTCTTACCTGCTTTCATCTTCTTCTTCCGTGATTTGGGAGAAGGACACTCTGCAGGTGCCGGTGATGTAATCCGTCCCGTGACTGGACCCTCAGCATGTACAGGGGTAGTGGCACCAGTGGTGGATGATGGCAATGACGGGCTGCAGGGCACGTAAGCTGGGCGCTTTGGCATGAACCTCCTCGACGCCTCATCCATCCGTCCGCGCCGATCTGCCTGCAATGGGTCCTCTCATAGCTGCCGCTCCAACTCCTCCGCCGTCATGGCTCCACCGATAGGCAATATACAAACACCCTGAACCGTCGACGCGGGTCTCTCGCCTGCATCCCGGGCGCCCGCGCCTCCACACTCAAGCGGATGCAGTGGAAGCACGCATCCGAGAACGCAACATCTCAGCGCTAGGATCATCGTCGCCACCATCATCAGAATCTTCGGGCTCAGACTCCACTGCCAGGTCGTCTGGATCGGACCAAGGCTCCGCCTCCATCGGGTCCTGAGCCATAGGATCCGGCTCGGGATCGTACACGGCATCCAACTCAGTCGACATGAGCACCGTGGCGCGACGACCGAAACATGTCTCGACGCTGGGCGGAGCCCTGGAAARGCGGTCCTTCCGCCCGCGCTGCACCTGCCGCTCGCGCTGYRCCTCCGTGACTYGGTCAGYTGGCCGAACACCCTCGTCACRAGGCGGAGGAATGYTGTCCTYTGTCTCCTCTCAGCGTCCTCCCATGGCAGAACGTACCCTGAACCCCTCCCCTGACAACRACTCAATCTCAWGTTGGTGGAKATCTCCACCAAACGAGCCAGCTTGATAAAACCAAGCTGGTTACGCTTCTCCACCTGAACAYGCTMATRGACGGCMCAKTTCCTCTCCGATGGAGAGGCRCACGTCCATGTGTGTGTCAGGCGAATGRYGTAAGTCTGAAGGAGAGGGACCCCGTCCCCGTGCTGAGCCCACCAGGGCCACCACTGCCCCACYTGCGACGTCTCCTTCTCCCCTCTGCAGGAGRCCGCGTCCCTGTCACCCTCAACCCCTCCGTACGTCCAATCGCCCTCCCGGCTAAGAAACTCAGCCAACTGCGTGCGCAGYGTCTGATACAAGTCCTCATCTCCCCCTGTCTGCTGGCGAAGGTATCGAAGTGACTCCTCCGCSAGTGTCTTGTTGTGCTCGCTGCGCCTCGCCGCTCCAAAATACGTAATGCTCCTGTGGYGAGGGTTSAGGAGGTGGGCGATGCAATGTGCGGGCTCCAATATATGATCGACCCGCGCCTGACAAGCCTGAACAACGATGTTGAGCTCCTCCCTCGACGTCCTGTTCAGTCTCGCCCTCGCCACCCTGTCGATCATGGCAAGTGCCCACGACCACATGCGAGTCATCACGCRCCCCMCTCTGTCCAGACRGCATAACAACTGCATCACAGGCGTCATGASCTCCACGATGTCCTCCACGTGCTCCCAAAATGGCGCGTACCGCACCTGATGACGCACCCWCCTAGCCTGCAAGAAAATGGACCTCCTCCATGCAGTCCGCAACCAGTCGTSGCTCATCATCAACGCCTCCAACGCTCGRYGACGATCCAACAACCTCTCCAGCATCAAGTAGTGGGTAGCAAACCTCRTCTGTGYGGGGTACACAAGCTCTCTGCCTCGCYGCTGAGACGAGGGTGGCGCARCACTGGAACTGGCCKCAACTRCGGAGGCGGAGAACCSTCGGTAAAGGCTGAGAKCCGSCCCGTGCGCTTTGATGAACCGCACGACTGCTCGAGCCCYKATGATGGTGTCCTCCCTCTTCCCAAGCTTCCCGGGGGTGCCGTYCTTCGCAATGTCTGACAACAACAAGTTGCAGACATGCACCGCAYACGGAAGCCAAGTAATGCGACTGTACTTGACCTCCTCCTTCGCSAGGAGCTTAGATGCAGCCACAAACGCRGACGCAGAATCCTTGCAAATGGCGTTGACGTTTTCGMCACCGAAGTTGTCGRACACGTCCTTCCATCGCTCCACCACCACCTCGGCTGTCTCCTRGACAGCACCGTCGTGCTACACAGTCCTGAAAAGGTAGGCTCCCGTGGGCCCAGCGGCAAGGAAGTTGACGATCTGGTCGCTAGTGATGGACTTGCGACCATCCGTGAGGATGGTCGCTTCTGTCGCSGCAATGTCCTTGCGGACGACCGCCACCATCTCCGCCACAACTCGCTGCTGCTGTGGAATACCGTCGCCGGAAATGAGACGATGCGTGGGCAACGCAGGATGTGTATACGGCGGACACTCGAGCAACCGCTTCCTCACTCGCTGGTACTCCG